TTTCAATGTTATCGCGGTTTTTCAATGGTCGCAATGAATCCGCAGTTGCTTTAATGATTCACTCTGCGAATGAGAGTAATGAATGGTATAGATTTCCCTGTAGCAGGAGAAGTAATCTACATTTCTGCGTTGAAACAAAGTTAGCTTGGAGTTGCGAGGCGAGGCAAGGCAGTTGGGAATAAATGGACCATCCGCCGATATCTTATCTCGCTGAGTGATTGCTGTGCAAGTCGAAGGAAGGAATGAAAGAGGAAGGAAGGAAGGAAGATGAACAGATGTGTTTAAAAATTAATTGCCGCTTGGTGTCTGCACGAAGGACACGTACGAAAGCACTCGCGGGACTTAATAAGTTTGTCTTCGTCGCGGTTCTAATTAACCTTAACGCATCCACAGAATTGGAAAAGCTAAAAATATTCCAAACAAGCGTACTACGCTCACGATTGAAATCATTGCATTTTTTCTGCCCTAGATGCCTGTCCAAATGACTATTAAGTCAATGTTAACTAACAATTCGTTACGCGTACAATTCTTAATTAATCGAAGGCGAAACCTTTTAAGAATAAAAATGGAAAAAGTCATCACACTTAATAATTGTAAAACTTTTTTCAAATCCAAATATTATTTAGTTTTGTTCACAGAACTTAATGATTGATAATTCAAATTTGTCAATAAAAAAACTAGGAAAGATATATAATTTTCTTGAGTGAATAAGAGTTGTTTATTTTAATTTAGAAATTAGATTAATTAATGTTAAAGATTTGTGATATTTTAAGGATAAGTAAGTGTATGAGAATTGTAAATAATTTGAACTATGTCAATTAACTGTTGCTTATAATTATAAGTCAATATTAACTAACAATTCGTTAGGCGTACAATTCTTAATTAATCGAAGACGAAACCATTTAAACATAAAAATGGAAAAAGTCATCACTCTTAATAATTGTAAAACTTTTTTCAAATCCAAATATTATTTAGTTTTGTTCACAGAACTTAATGATTAATAATTCAAATTTGTCAATAAAAAAAACTAGGAAAGATATATAATTTTCTTGTGAGTGAATAAGAGTTGTTTATTTTAATTTGGAAATTAGATTAATTAATGTTAAAGATTTGTGATATTTTAAGGATAAGTAAGTGTATGAGAATTGTAAATAATTTGAACTATGCCAATTAACTGTTGCTTATAATTATAGCGTTGAGTGTGTGTGAATATTCGCAGTGGAATTGTTGAAAATCAAGAAAGCAAAACACATGTTAGGATGTATAGTACATGTGTACGTTTTCTCGAAACAACGATAGTCATGTATGCAATTGTGCCAATTAAGATCAATGAATTAATTAGAGGAACGTCGTCGTCGTCGACTGCGAGACGAGTGGAGACTTAGTCTAATCCGAAGACGTGGCGGAGTGTAAGAAGGGCGCGTGCTTGGACCGTGCGTGCAGACGGCGTCGCGACGCTCAAAACAATAACGCCGACTTTGCGGAGCGGATAGACTTTCAAAAATTCTCCAGAGTAGTTACAGAGTAGCATGACAACAGCTTAGTTTGTTGTTGCGTTCGTCTTAAATGCCCTGTGTGTTCCATTAAGGTCAACTCGAAAGTTGGTAAACATTTCATTCCCATTTATATTGAACTCGCATCACGAGATATCAACCGCCGACACCGATCACACCCGGACCACTCAAAACTCGGCGCTCTTTCGTTATGGATAGATTTCATCGGATTACCTTCATCCTTCTCATCTTCACTTCAGGTAAGACTTAAACTTTTTACAAAAACATTTACTTTTATTAATTAATAAACGCATTTAATATCATTCCTTTTACAACAATTTACAAAAATATTACAACTTAACATACGAATATTTATAACAAATTTTCACTTGTGGATAAAGGTTTTACTCGTTTACGAACAATTTCTAAATATAAACTCTTTACAAAAACATTTACTTTCATTAATTAATAAACGCATTTAATCTCATTCCTTTTACAACAATTTACAAAAATATTACAACTTAACATACGAATATTTATAACAAATTTTCACTTGTGGATAAAGGTTTTACTCGTTTACGAACAATTTCGAAATATAACTTCAAATCATTCGCACACTTTTCTTTGCAATTTTACAGATTTAAAACTTTACTAGTTATTATTTCTACCGCGTAATTATTGAAAATAAACTTTAGACGTCTAGAACAAAATAATATCAAGTAATTACTTTTCCAAATTGTTTATTACAAATTTGTTAAAAATTAATACAAAATAATTTGAAAAACTCCATTTTTTGTCTAATCTTTGAATGTTTATACATTCTTCTATCGTCTTGGTAGTCGTTTCAGCACTTAATTAAAACATTGAACCTTTTGGGTCCTTTAAAACCAAAAAAGAAAAGAAACGAAAGAAAAACAACAACAACAAAAAAAATGTATATTAAAGATGAGAACATTTCTCATCTCGTCTGGTATTATGAATTATGTGGAGATGTTTTATTTATTCCGCGACGTACAATTTTCCAGCGGATTCCGTGCCGCCAATAAAGAGAAAAAGCGAACCACTTCGTTCCATTTTTTTTATTGCGACTACTTCATTTTATTATTCCTCACTTTAAGTTACATTTTTATGGTCCGTCTAATTAAATTAAAGCGCTTCCATGCATGTTTCGTATTTTCTTCTGTTCCCTTCGCTTATGTACAAAAAAAAAAGCAAAATAATTAATATAGATTTACTTGGTATTAAAATTTTTATATTTACGTTAAACGAAATCATTAAAATTTCATTAAATTAAGTAAACAGATGTAATATACAAAAGTTATAGTTAGAATCTGTGTGTTTTTTTTATATTGGAGAAAGGTATATTTCCTTTGTCATTTGCAGATGCGGATTGTGTGTGAAAAGCAAAGCGCGTGCAGTAAATTATCGGCGGTTTCGGATTGATTAATTGTCGATAAATAGAATAATCGATGATTAATTAATAGCGGAGAGCCGAGCGATTCGGTTTAGGTGCGGCTTTCGGGTGGAGAGACCACCACAGCTTGATGAACTTGGTCCTCGAAGTTGTGCAGTCTCGAATTCTACCTCAGTTTTGAAACTGCCCATCGAAGTCCTCTTCACTGTATCTCCTCTCTCAGCAACATGAGACTCTCCTCTGCTCTTGAAGTGGTTTCAATTACAAATTTTCGTGTATTAATACGCGCAACAGAGCAATCTTTTCAATATCTTAATTGTGTTTGCGACGGGGCTGGAACGTATCCGTTTCAAGATCCGTTTACGTTAAGTAAATATGGAAAAACATAAATCCGGGGATTGTAAGCAGAAAAAAGAAAAGTGGATGGATCGGTGCCGGTTTTTGGGATGGGCAGGCTAAATAGGGGCGCAAAGTAAAGAGAACTAAAAGATGGGGTGAAAAGGAAGATATTGGGAATGGGTGAGACCTGAACGAGGGTGGGTTATACATTTTATCGTGTTAACATCGGGTGGGCCATCCGCTAAGTGACTTATAAGTCGGGCATGGGTGTGTCGTCTCGTCTTAAAGGGAATTATCGTTAATTTGGCTAATGCATTCCGTCCTATAATCATCAATTTTACTATACATATTGTGCGCGTAAATATCCTTCCTCCAACACCGCCAACAATACTCTTTCTTGTACGCCCATCGCATGACATCCCCTCGAATCCATCTAATCTTCACTTAACCACCGCACGGAAAAAGATATATCTAAATACCATCGAATTCAAACCTCAAAGATTGATGATGATTAAAGCACATTAAGAACACCGTTCCTTCTTTAATTCCCTTAACACAATTAACGCTTCATCTTTAACAATATGGAAATTTCTAATAGTCATTCTTAATAAATATAATTTTTCTTGTAACAATTGCCCAATATTACTTACTAAAATAGTCTCAAATATAGACATTTCATATAGAAAGTTCTAAAATTAACTTTATCATTGTATAATTTAGTTTTTTGATGATTAAAATTACTGAAGAGTTATAATATAAAGCTTTTGTAAACTAATATTGTTGTTCTTTCAAAAACAGTTTATAAATTTCTTACGCTTTCTGCACAAAACACGTTCATTGCTTCCTAGCAAACCGTTAAAGAGATTCAGCTTTTGATAAAAGTAATTGCAGGAGTAATAACTAAATAGGTTCCTTCTTTAATTCCCTTAACACAATTAACGCTTCATCTTTAACAAATAATTCTTAATGTTAGCTTTCTATAAATACAATTTTTGTTGTAACAATTGCCCAATCTTACTTACTAAAATAGTCTCAAATAAAGGAAAGTTCTAAAATTAACTTTATTAGCATTTTGATGATTAAAATTACTGAAGAGTTACAATATAAATTGGACAAAGCTTTTGTAAACTAATATTGTTGTTCTTTCAAAAACAGTTTATAAATTTCTTACGCTTTCTGCACAAAACACGTTCATTGCTTCCAAGCAAACCGTTAAAGAGATTCAGCTTTTTATAAAAGTAATTGCAGGAGTAATAACTAAATAGGTTCCTTCTTTAATTCCCTTAACACAATTAACGCTTCATCCTTAACAATATGGAAATATCTAATAGTCATTATTAATGTTAGCTTTCAATAAATACAATTTTTGTTGTAACAATTGCCCAATATTACTTACTAAAATAATCTCAAATATAGACATTTCTTATAGAAAGTTCTAAAATTAACTTTATCATTGTATAATTTAGTTTTTTGATGATTAAAATTACTGAAGAGTAACAATATAAAGCTTTTGTAAACTGATGTTGTTGTTCGTTCAAAAACAGTTTATAAATTTCTTACGCTTTCTGCACAAAACACGTTCATTGCTTCCTAGCAAACCGTTAAAGAAATTCAGCTTTTTATAAAAGTAATTGCAGGAGTAATAACTAAATAGGTTCCTTCTTTAATTCCCTTAACACAATTAACGCTTCATCTTTAACAATATGGAAATATCTAATAGTTATTATTAATGTTAGCTTTCAATAAATGCAATTTTTGTTGTAACAATTGCCCAATATTACTTACTAAAATAAACTCAAATATAGAAATTTCATATAGAAAGTTCTAAAATAAAAATTTTTGATGATTAAATTTACTGAAGAATTACAATATAAATTGGACAAAGCTTTTGTAAACTAATATTGTTGTTCTTTCAAAAACAGTTTATAAATTTCTTACGCTTTCTGCACAAAACACGTTCATTGCTTCCTAGCAAACCGTTAAAGAGATTCAGCTTTTATAAAAGTAATTGCAGGAGTAATAACTAAATAGGTTCCTTCTTTAATTCCCTTAACACAATTAACGCTTCATCTTTAACAATATGGAAATATCTAATAGTCATTATTAATGTTAGCTTTCAATAAATACAATTTTTGTTGTAACAATTGCCCAATATTACTTACTAAAATAATCTCAAATGTAGAAATTTCGTATAGAAAGTTCTAAAATTAACTTTATCATTATATAATTTAGTTTTTTGATGATTAAAATTACAATATAAAGCTTTTGTAAACTAATATTGTAGTTCTTTCAAAAACAGTTTATAAATTTCTTACGCTTTCTGCACAAAACACGTTCATTGCTTCCTAGCAAACCGTTAAAGAGATTCAGCTTTTGATAAAAGTAATTGCAGTAGTAATAACTAAATAGGTTTGTGCAAAATTGCATTTAGTCCGCGAAACGATTGATAATTCATGAAATTTCCCTGAAATCTCCGCTACACGATTGACGATTTTTCCCTTCCATTTTCATAAATTACCCTCTATAAAAATTGGCCATTGGTCACGCATCGGTGGCGGTTGCGTGTTCCTCCGTTTTCTTCGTACTGAATATATTTCATAATTGCGTGATTCACGGAGGAACCGCACCGAAACACTCCACCCTCCAATCACGATGATTCCCATTAAATCACAAGCAAGGATTCCTACGTGAGTTCAAAAGAAAAAAAATCACACATCAATTTGTGTGTTTTCCCCAAATAGTTCACAAGAAAAATGCAATCAATTTACCTTAATTTGTGTGTTTCACTTTGTTAATTTAACTCGATTTAAACAGAGAATTAGAAATTTTGCACTTTGTTAATTTGCAAGATGCTCGTGGTAATCTGGAATGTAAAAGTCTAAAGTTAATTTAGCTGAAATAGGAAATTGGTGATATAACGTTATCTGCTTTGGATATATTCGATGTACGTGCAATGGCCGGAATGAAGGAGGAAGCGCAACTGGATACGTTAAGTGGCTGCAATAAAAATTAAGTTTAAGATTTATAATCACCGCAAAGTGAAAGATATTGCGATTTGATATGCGCCCGAACGGATTCGCAATTTACGTCTGGATTGCAATGAAATTACGTAATCTTTTATTTGTGAGTGTGTTTGTGTATGGAAAGAATGGAAGAACGAAGAGGAAAAATTGCGTCGAAGGAAACGAAACCGGAAAAATTCTTTCTCTCGTTGCGCTGTCGGCTAAATTTAAGTCGCGTTCCTCCTGGTCTCTCTCACCACCACTTGCTGACTTAAATTGGTAATTATATGGCAATTTGCATATGAATTTGAAGGAAGCCGCATCAGACCACGCGTCCAATTTATCCAACTCGCCCAAACAACGGAACGCTTCAAGTACTTGGACCAACATAAACTGCATTAGACGATGCTAAACACATCTCCCTCTCCACTCGCAATTTCCATCTAATTTATGGACCTTGCTGCTAATTTGAAAATTACTGTTTCAAGGAGTTTTACCGAAATAAAACAAAAACATGATTGTTATAAACTGGTTCGGTGCGTTTATTCCATATAATTTATTGAAATTCCTGCGGATGAAACCATTAGCTTCTATTATTAACACTTGCTCGATCTGCTTAAATGCCCAGTTCACGTAAAACTGGGTTAGATCTATAAGAAAACGCTGATTGTTGCTTCTCCAGTTTCAGTATTTGGCGTTAAAATAACGAAGTTCTACGTGCCCGGAGGCGCCACCAACGAGGCACCGATCGAATGCAGCTACGACCTGGAGGAGGATCAACTGTACGACGTGAAATGGTACAAAGACGGATCGCAATTCTTCAGGTACTAAAATTACGTGAAACTTTTGCGTTTTTACTAAAAATTTCTAATTCGATTTTAGATGTTTACCATCGGGAGATATTGTGCAGTTCGAGGTTGAAGGCGTATCGGTGATAGATAGATACGCGAAGCTCGGATCGTGCAGCCTGACTTTGAATATGTTGACGAAGAAGTCGGCGGGCGAATACAAGTGCGAGGTCAGCACAGAAGCTCCCACGTTCAAAACGGCGGTGGCTTCTGCAAAATTGAGGATCATCGAATACGCGCGACGGACGCAAACCGTCCTCGAAGAACCTTCAGGTACTTAAATCTTCAAGATTTAAAACATCATCTTCTTCAAGCGATTTCTGTTTTTTTTTTCTTTGTAGATCCCGAGGAAACGACGGAAGATGAACCGAGAAACATTGCAGCCTCAAACTCTTTCAAGATAATCCCTCTCCTCGCGTTCGTTCTTCTCACCAATATAATTTGTTAGGAAAAAAGAAATCTAAATTATTTATCCTCCACCATTCGAATAAAGATATATTTTTAAGAGTTTCGATCATTTCATTCATTCCCATTCAAATAATTCAACTTGTATAAATTCAATAAAACATTAAGTTTTTATGTTTCTTGTTGGATAAATGCCAAGAGTTTCATTTTACGACTCTATGCACATCGTAAAACAAGACATACCTGCGATTACATAAAATATTCAGGAAATGAACTATTTTTCTAAAATAACTTTCTCATTCGGATAAAAAATTTAAAAAAAATAATCAATTTTCTTTGTTTCTCTTAGACTTTATTTTGTTTGACGCTTTATACATAAGTGATTTGATCAATATCGTATGAATAACATAAAAGTCTTATGAATTGGTTTTTATTCTTCGTAATTTAATACGAAATACGCACGTAATTAATTTAATTTATACACAACAACACCTATTGCATTACATCAGTTTAATCGTAATGCAAACCCGAGTATATTATTATCCATGTCACCTGAAACAAAACAATTCATATTTAATCATAGAAAGTTTAATAATGCTTCAAGTTGCTTCGTAGTCACAATGAACAAATTTTACCATTCGTAATGTGATAAATATTTTAGAAAGCAGAGCAAAATATTAAAGTTTATAATATTTTGTATCACAATTTAAGTATTTCATTAAATACTGTTTGTTAATATGTACAATGTTTAATTACCAGAAAACCAGCAAATGAGGTCATAAATCCTTCTTTCGTAAGTTCCCAAGCACCACCATAATCCTCCTCATCGATATTTTGGAAATTGCTGTAATAAATATAAATGATGGCTGCATTCACAAGCATGAATCTGCAATTAGAATTCTCATTATCACCACTGAATAATTTAATTTTTCTTGAGACATACAGAACTAATCCCATGAAACCCTTGATCGGTACCAGTCCCCAAACAATACCAACGATGATCCCGATGATCTGCCTAGACCAGTATATGACGTCCAGGAATTCCTCCTGCAAATTTTCGTATAAGAATTACCACTATTTTTTTATTGGTGTTTCCTGTGAGGGATTGCTTACTTTGTCTGGCCATTCCGCATTCGACTGGAACGCTCTGCTCAGCACCGATCCAATTTGCGAAGATCCGTTCTTCTCGTCGCTTTTCGTCTTGTTGTTCATTTCGAAAGTTTTAATTAAAGTTTTGCTTAAATAATCTTTGGCCGAACGCAAATCTTAACACATGATACGAATGTTTGACACATATACATTTGATGATTCCTCCGCAACTAACTTCAGTTTGGTTCCACGATATACATTTACTATCTTCACAGTACTTAATATTTCTCCTTCTTCTACTAATCACATTATAGGTCACAATGTATGCAACTTAACATACACATATATTTCAATTAATTTAAAAAAACATATAAAAGCAGAAATTAATTTGTTTAATTTATGCAATATTATAATTAGAAACAATGCAATTATACAACGAAGATTAGTTTTTAATCACCATTAACGTGCACCATCTTATACTTGTTATACAGATTCACAAGCATTTGGATGAGTAAATATACAAGTTTCATTGTTTTGTCAAGGACGCTTAACTTGCGTAATTTCCATGGCTAACATAGCTTCTTTCACAAGTAATAACGCTTCATATAAAAGTTATCAAGTACTTGTACAAATATTTATACAAGTTAACAATAAGCCAAGTTAAGTCTTTATATCTACTATACTTCTGTCCATTGGCTGATTAAGAACTTAAGCGCAATTTAATTATGATATCCTCTTCTAAATATTTCCATATTGTATGAAATTGGCTGTAAGTTGAAAAATAAAAAAAATAACGTTAAAACATGCAGTATTTTCACATTTTAGTGATTTTCTCGAAAACTATAGTAGATTGCATATGAAAGCTGGATGTTTGGGGAATCAAGATTTCAGAGTTCTAAGAACTTCTTTCGAAAGTAATAATACTTTACACCTGTAAAATACTTTTACAAGTTATCAATAAGCCAAGTTAAACCTTTAAATCTAACATACTTATGTGACAAGTACTAAAGTTTTCAAAGCTTTGAGACCTTTTTCAAATGTAATAATACTTCACAGCAAAAACACAAATTAATTTGTTTAATTTATGCAATATTACAATTAGAAACAATGCAATTAAACAACGAAGATTTGTTTTAAATCATTAACGTGCACCATCTAACAATTATAAAACTAAGTTTATAGTTCAGTCTTTTCGGCGCTGCTCAAATTTACTTATACTTGTTATACAGATTCACAAGTACTCGTCAAGCATTTCTATGAGTAAATATACAAGTTTTAATGTTTTGCCAAGGACGCTTAACTTGCGTAATTTCCATGGCTAACTTAGCTTCTTCCACAAGTAATAAGGCTTCATATAAAAGTTATCAAGTACTTGTACAAATATTTATACAAGTTATCAATAAGCCAAGTTAAGTCTTTATATCTAACATACTTATGTGTGACAAGTACTAAAGTTTTGAAAGCTTTGAGACCTTTTTCAAATGTAATAATACATCACAGCAAAAACAGAAATTAATTTGTTTAATTTATGCAATATTACAATTAGAAACAATGCAATTATACAACGAAGATTTATTTTAAATTATAAATGTTATCAAGTACTTGTACAAATATTTATACAAGTTATCAATAAGCCAAGTTAAGTCTTTATATTTAACATACTTATGTAACAAGTACTAAAGTTTTGAGACCTTTTTCCAATGTAATAATACTTCACAGCAAAAACATATAAAAACAGAATGCACAATTAACGTGCACCATCTAACAGTTTTAAGACCAAGTTTTAAGTTCAGTCTTTTCAGCACTGCTCAAATTTACTTTAATTTGCATGAGTTTTAATTGCAATTAAAGAAACATATAAGCTTTTACTTGAATTGATTGAAAAGTCTTCAAATCTAGTTTATTAAATTGTCAGCATCTTATCTATTTTGAAATTTAAATAACTTTTTGAATAAAATTAAATTTAAAAAGTTGTTTTTTACCATTTCTAAGCTTACTATGAATATTTTAATTGTATACATTTAAAGTATAATTAAACTATTACTGTTTGTTAAGAAAAACCTTGGTGTAAGTAGGTTAAATGCAGAGTAATTGATTACATGTTAATAATATATATATGAAGTTGTAATTAATAGTAATTTCATATTAATTGTATATATTATTAAAAGCAGTAAAATTTTGTATTTAATATTAACAAAATTAAGGATTTAATAAGGATGTCCTTAAATAATTGAGTCTATGGGATAATTGAGGACAGATGATTCAATGTGATTTGAATATAATTGTGGCGTCTGTTAATTGTTCTCCTTTGGTATTTCGATGAACAATGAGGCTTATTCTATGTTAATGTTGGATGTGATTGGCATAGCAATTATTGGATGACATCTCAAGCAAAAAGAGCAAAAGGAAAAGTGACGGTGCCATGGAAAACAATGGAGAGTTTGGATTGCTCCAGATTCCACCTAGGCTGGATGGAACGTCGCGTGGTATTTTCAACCTTGCATCTCTGAATGTTGTTGTTGTTTGTTGTTCTATGGACTGGGTGGGCATGGATGTGTATGGGCCTCGTGACGCAAGGAGGTGTCGGTGCGCTTTCCCCACGCAGAATGCCCGTTCCATCCGATCTTGTGGGCCTCCTGCTTCAGTCAGCCACTGGCATTTCGAACGAACTCCACGAGCGGAAAACAAAGAGAAAGACGGTGGTGGTTCAGAGCTACCGCAACGATTACGTCGGAATATTCTGGGTGTTTTATTTTTTGGAGATTTAACATAGAAAGTGAGAGTGTGTTTGAGTGCGTGCATGTCTGTATGTATATTCGCGCTCCGACCATGGATTCTGCACCAACGCAACCGGCCATGACGTAATTCCCCGGTAAGTGTCCAAAAATGGTCACATCCAATTGGCACTTTTCACTTTTACCCACATGCGAAACAACAACGAAAAAATTGCAAATCAATCCTAAAAACTTCCTGTTTCTACCCACAAACCTTCACCCATTTCAAGATACACAACACCATCAAATCACCTGAAACAATCTGAAGTTTCTTAAGCAATTGGAGCAGGTTTTTGCTAAAGGTCAAATTTAACAAGTCTTTAAAATGATTACTCTTTTGCACATCTTTTGCAGTTTCATCACTTTACTTTTAACAAGTTTTTTTTTAATAAAAGATTAACACATCAGTCATTCGTAAATCCTTTTTTTTATAGTGGTTATTGCAACATCTTGGAAAGATTTTATTACACAATTAGCACAAAATACATTTTTTAAAACCGGATAAACATCTGTTATTGTATCTATACAAAAAAACTTATGAATAAAGAACTTTCTTTGAATTATAAATGTATTTTTTCATAATATTAAAATTTTCTGTTTTTTTTTTTGTATTTAGAGTTAATTTAAATAGTTTTTAATGAATTATTTAATAACTTTCACTTTTACATTTTTGGTGTTTAAAAGAATTTGAATCAATTTGTTACAAATTTCATTACTCTATAATCATTTAATATGCAATTTAATTCACATGAATCAATATGATTCAATTAAAACAAAATCTGTTTACTGATTTCATTAATTATAAAGAAATGTAAAAGAAACTGCAAGAAATTAAATTTCTAAACGTAACTAAAGATAGAAATGACGATATTTCAAAATTCGGATCACGAACGAACGAACAAACAAACAAAATGAAACAAAAGACGAAAACTGTTATCCTCCAGAGCGACCAACAGGTAATTTTCTTGTTTGCGGTGAATAATCATCCGGAGATGATGAGGTTTTCGGTTCGGATTCCGTTTGGCCTCAAGAACCGCAGGTGGTGAGCCAACTGTGCGTGAAGTGAATACAACAACGAGGGGGCCCGTTTAAAAGACCATTTAGCGTACCTAATATTTCATCCATACACAAAAAAAAAAGAAAAACGAAACAAAGAAAAACAAAAAATTATATTTGTATGCTTGATAGCCGCAGGAAATTGTGCTGCAACAGAAATATTAATAAAACCGAAACGAAATCTGAATACCGAATCAGAAGCTGACCTTTAATAATGGTGTTGTTTAATAATTGTTGTTTTTATGTAACGCCGAAATCTGTTGGCGGAGATCGAATTTATTATATTCATGTTGCGCAAAAATCTTTGTTATTTTTAGATTTTTTATTGTTCAGTCGTTCCATTGAATTATTTTAAAATGAAATATTATTAGAATTATCTGCATAGAAATAAAAATAAGTTTAATAGACTTTAGAGTCTATTTATACTTGTTATACAGATTCACAAGTACTCGTCAAGTATTTGTATGAGTAAATATACAAGTTTCATTGTTTTGTCAAGGACGCTTAACTTGCGTAATTTCCATGGCTAATTTAACTTCTTTCACAAGTATTAACGATTCATATAAAAGTTATCAAGTACTTGTACAAATATTTATACAAGTTATCAATAAGCCAAGTTAAGTCTTTATATCTACAATACTTCTGTCCATTGGCTGATTAAGTACCTAAGTGCAATTTAATTATGATGTCCTCTTCTAAATATTTTCATATTGATGAAATTGGCTGTAAGTAGAAAAATAAAAAAATTAACACTAAAAAATGCAGTATTTTCACATTTTTGTGATTTTCTCGAAAACTATAGTAGACTGCATATGAAAGCTGGATGTTTGGGGAATCAAGCTTTCAGAGTTCTAAGAACTTCTTTCGAAAGTAATGATACTTCACACCTGTAAAATACTTTTACAAGTTATCAATAAGCCAAGTTAAGCCTTTAAATCTAACATACTTATGTGACAAGTACTAAAGTTTTGATAGCTTTGTGAACTTTCCTCTAATATAATAATACTTCACAGCTGTAAAGAAATCTGAATAGAAATTAGAAGCTGACCTTTACTGGTGTTTTTTTATTTTTTTTTGTATGTTACACCGAAATCTGTTGGCGGAGATCGAATTTATTTTCATGTTGCGCAAAAATCTCTGTTATTTTTAGATTTTTATTGTTCAATCGTTCAATTGAATTATTACTTTAGAGATTAAGGAAAAGTGATGAATGTTTTTGTTTTCATCTAAGTTTCATATATTAAATACTTTCCGGGTAACTTATCATGTAATTATACTTGTTATAAAGATTCACAAGTACTCGTCAAGCATTTGTATGAGTAAATATACAAGTTTTATTGTTTTGCCAAGGACGCATAACTTGCGTAATTTCCACTGCTAACTTAGCTTCTTTCACAAGTAACAATGCTTCATATAAAAGTTATCAAGTACTTGTACAAATATTTATACAAGTTATCAATAAAACAAGTTAAGTCTTTATATCTACTATACATCTGTCCATTGGCTGATTAAGTACCTAAGTGAAATTCACGCTCAAAGTTGAAAAATTAATGCTAAAAAATACAGTATTTTGACATTTTAGTGGTTTTTTTCGAAAACTATAATAGATTGAATGTTTGGGGAATGAAGTTTTCAGAGTACTTAGTACTTATTTTAAAAGTAGTAATACTTCACACCTGTAAAATACTTCTACAAGTTATCAATATACCAAGTTAAGCCTTTAAATTTAACATACTTATGTGACAAGTACTAAAGTTTCCAAAGCTTCAGATGTAAAGTACTTTTACTTGTATAAGCATGTATGATTTCTATAGTTACTTTACAAGTACTTGAACTTTCCGAAGTATGTAGCAAATACAAAGTTACATGCTTATCTTTTAATATCTCCATGACTACCATAATATTATTTTTCAATTGCCTGTATATTTAACGATCAAATTTCTATGACTACTAAATTATCAAAATACAGATGAATTTTATTCTGAACAAATAAAACTTGATAGTGTAATTGTCGCCTGTTGCATAAGGCGTGGACGAAGTGGCGGATGCACATAACGAATTGCTTCACGTGCATCGAAAGCAAAGTTATTTGCAGTCCGGAGGAGACACCAGGAAGTTCACGGCTTCATTACCATAGGAAACGTTTCCTTATAAAGCGCAAAGTCAATTCGAATCGTCTAGTTGACTACATTTTTGTCATAACGGATCGTGCATGTTTAGGTCGATCCGAATCGCTTGCATTGCATTGAGTCACGCTTCGGTTATTACTTTGTTTATAAATAATTGTCCTTCTTTGCATCATTTCTGTTTCATTTCTTTTCAAAAACCTGCACCTTGGGTCACCGATCAATGCACGGATCATTTCCCCCCAGATTTATGCCCGCAGATCCGAGACGAACGTATTTATTGCCCGGAAACTATTAAGAGTAATTTACTTTTCCCCGAGCGCCCGAGTCCCGTTCATTCCCCCCTTCAAAACAATTGTCCGAACATTCACAATAAATTCCTCATAAATTCATATGAAAATTAGATGAAAACTGCATTTCCCACTGCTTGTTTTTCTACTTTTTCAACATCTCTTCGATCTCCCATTGTTCGCATATCGCACGGATTATACAATATTCCGCTTTCACTCGAATCTGAGACGGTTTAGAAAACGGCAACGCGTTGACCAAGAGGTGCGAAAACAAACCGAATTAACGCCGCATTCGATAAACAATGGTCTCACTTGCTTCACAAAGACCACACAAGAAAAAAATACAAACTAGAAGCATTTCGAAGAAGAACAATGTAGTGTGTCAATTGCCGCAGTGAAAAATTAAGCAGTTTTAATTAGTTCAGTAAAAAAATAATAATGAATAGAAACTTGATGTAATATAATAAAACTTTTCGCTATAATAAAAGACGAGACAAAGACTGGAGAGGTCATTGAAATCGATCTGCTTTCGGAAATATAACTTTCTTTCCTTCATTTCCTCGCACGCCTTCAATTATAATCTGCAGCAGCTTTTGGTTACTTTTTTTTTTGTCCAACGCACATTTATTATCACTTTCTCGATACAATATTACGTGTACATTCGATAATATATTCGGAAAGTGAAAGTCCACTTTTTTTTACATATGTTTAAAGAAATAATACAAAAAAATCTTAAACGAGTTTGCATCGGTTTCTGCTCACAACCAGAATATAATTGGTAATCATATTTGGGGAAAGTTCAGTTCAGCTTTTACGCAATTTCACTTGAATGAAATCTTCACATGCTTAAGACCATTATATAATATTGTATTGTTGAAAATGATGATGATGTAGATGAAAAATTTAGTGCATTTTCGTAATTGAAAAGTTAGTTTTATCATCTTATAATAACAATTAAATTACTATATTTATACCTCATCTTCAAGGTATGTTTTCATTATAATCTCTCACGTTATTTCATTCCATTTCGCAACACATATATATTACGCAAATGATTATTCATTATTAAACAAAAATGTATGAATTTTAATGAAAATGTGTGGCATGTTGCAAGAACAATACATCACGAAGGAATACAACAATTACGAAATAATTTCGTATAAAAATAATCATGAAATTATTCAATCTTCATGCGTTTCCTCGAACTGTGAGAAAACTTTCGCAAATGATTGTAACCGAAATTGTCTGTGATTTATGATTTTTCACGCCGAATTGATGATTTGCAGAATTAGATTGTTGCAGCGAACTAAAACTATAAAATATAGAAAAATAGTGTAGAAATTTCACAAGGTTGCAGGCCAATTAGTTCGGACTCGGTTACGTTATGCGCAAACAATTTCAGGGTCACACAAACACGATCCTAACTGAGCCTGCTGCATTGCAACAATATCTAGTATACGTGTGTTCGCTGTCCTCTGCAGGATTCTCCTTCAAATACAATTTTACCTTGCAAAAGTCATAGTTTTAACATCACAATAAATCCCTTTGCAAAAATTTCAAACATAGTTTTCAATTATAATAATATCAAATAATCTATTACAATTAATACAAATTTGTTTGTTAGCAATCATTGCAGAAACATCAAAATTTAGTGATTAAAATAATAATTCAGGAATTAATAAATTGAAACTATTTCTATGGGATTTTTAATAAATTGAAAATATTTAATCACAATTTCAACAGGACTTTTCAATTTTATAATATAACTACAAAAACTGTAAAACAATACAGAAATTTCAGTGAAAACTTTGATGATTTTCAAATATTTTTTTGTAATTTATGCTGATGTTATTGTACATTTTATGTAATTACATTTCTTCAAGTAACATTTCATATTAATACACTTCATAATGTATCTAAAGGAAAACATCATTCACATCTTGATTTACAAATTGAATTTATTTAGTCAAAAATAAAAATTTATACTAACTTCTTTCAAACCTGATTAAGTTTGAAAGTAGGTATAAAATTATAATTCAAATGATATATAGAATGTACGGATGTAACAGTAATTCCGTCATATCAATTCTATCTGATTTATCTGCTGTCAGAGATGATGGAACTACGCGCACGGAGAAACTTTCGTTAAAAAGACAGATTTAGCATTCATTGTTCGCAGCAGCACAGTTTGACACACATTTTCCACGAAGTTGAGGAACTTCCGACGGCTGCAAAAATAATGGTTTTAGAAGCGAAAGAAAGAAAAAGTTTTTTTTTGTTCACGTAGTTTAGCGGTCGCATGGACCGCAAAAGACTCCTCGGAGATGCCCAGACTAATAGATCTTCGTTGTACAAATAATAATAATAATGCATTTCTTTATTTCTTTGTGCAGAGGAATTGTCGACGAGGAAAGGAAGAACAAACATAGTGTAAAAGGATTAGGAGAATCGAAGGAGGATGGCGAAACGCATCAACAAGAATCATTACGTGGCGTCGCAACGGCACAGCGAATCCCCGACGCCCGTCCATCACGCACCCAGAAGCGTTTACTCGGATGGAGAGGAGAGCCAGAGGGCTCCATCGGAGAGGACACTCTCAGAATATACCTCAGTTGTAAGTGAAGTCACCATTACGTAATCTAAAAGAGTTTACAATTACGAATCAAGGATTTCAATTAGACTTACAAGAAAGTACAATCAGGAATCGTGTTTCTTAAGTTGCGAGATCTTAAAAGTTTCTTACCAATTAAAAGTTACGTAATTACAATTCAATTATTCAAGTATTCTTTCTTTTTATTTAGACACAAAAATTTGAAAATTTTATTAAATATTTTGTCAAAATCAGGGATAATTCAAGCACATCTTAAAATGAATTTTAATTAAACTTTTTTTTTGTTTATATTAAAAATCTAAATATTTTTATCAGAAATGCATTAATCTAATTGCAAATTGATGCGTTGGGAATTGCGTTTCGATTGGTGATGATTATGCAATGATTACAAGTAAAGAACTAGGCTTTTTGCACGTCGGAGTGCACCAATTATCCGATTCTCACCTATCGTCTGAATCCGACTATTGTCTGGTCGACAAAGTCGTAATTGGATTTGCTCTCCACTTCGACGTGAATGGGAAATACTGTTATTATTCGAAATCCCCGCGCTTTTACATCCTTGTATCATGAATCTCTCTTTCTATTCACCGCATCTCTATTTTATTTACAATCGAATTCGTTCGGACAATAGAAACGAATTTCGATGTCATTAAAAGCTTTGATTTTAATTAATATAATTAAAGAAATAATGCAATTAATGATTCTAATGAAATCTGGTATTAAATGATGAATTGTCCAATCTGTGACAAACATTTGAAAAGTCAATTGTCACTGTGACAGTTCGTAAATTGTGAAAAAAGTTGTGATTGAGGTTGTCTATGATTTCAATTAAAATAATTTCATAAAAACTCACCCTTTTTAGTATAAATGATGTAATTTATGTAAATTTAGTTACCTAATCAAAAAATTAATTCACTTTATTGAATTAATTTCATGATATGAAATAAATCTAGAATTAAAACTAATTAAATCTATGACAAACATTTTATATGTTAAATGTCACTGTGACATTTCGTTAATTGTGAAACAAAAGCTGTGATTGAGGGTGTCTTTGATTTCAATTAAAATAATTTCATTGGAAACACCTTTATTGTAATTTCTGTAATTGTAATTAATTAATTAAAAAAACATATAACTAATTAATGAATTTAATGATTCTAATGAAATCTGGAATTATATCTTATTAAATGATAAATTGTCCAATCTGTGACAAACATTTTACAAGTCAATTGTCACTGTGACAGTTCGTTAATTGTGAAACAAAAGCTGTGATTGAGGGTGTCTTTGATTTCAATTAAAATAATTTCATAAAAACACACCTTTCTTGTAATTTCTGTAAATGTAATTAATTAATGAAAAAAATCACATAACTAATTAATTAATTTAATGATTCTAATGAAATCTGAAATTATAACTTATTAAATAATAAATTGTCCAATCTGTAACAAAAATTTGAAAAGTTAATTGTCACTGTGAGAGTTCAGCAGTTGAGGAATAAAAAGCTGTGATTGAGGGTGTTTTTGATTTCAATTAAAATAATTTCATAAAAACTCACTTTTTTAGTATAAATGATATAATTTTTGTAAAATTAGTTACCTAATGAAAAAAAATAATTCACTTTATTGAATTAATTTCATGATTTGAAATAGATCTAGAAATGAAACTAATTAAATCTGTGACAAACATTTTACAAGTCAATTGTCACTGTGACAGTTCGTTAATTGTAAAAAAAAGCTGTGATTGAGGATGTCTTTGATTTCAATTAAAATAATATAATAAAAACACACCTTTCTTGTAATTTCTGTAATTTTAATTAATTAATAAAAAAACCATATAAGTAATTAATGAATTTAATGATTCTAATGAAATCTGGAATTATAACTTATTAAATAATAAATTGTCTAATATGTGACAAACATTTGAAAAGTCAATTGTCACAGTTCGTTAATTGTGAAAACAAAGCTGTGATTGAGGGTGTCTTTGATTTCAATTAAAACACACCTTTCTTGTAATTTCTGTAAATGTAATTAATTAATAAAAAAAAATCACATAACTAATTAATTAATTTAATGATTCTAATGAAATCTGGAATTATAATGATAAATTGTCCAATATGTGACAAACATTTTACAAGTCAAATGTCACTGTGACAGATCGGTAATTGAAATAGAGATAGAGAGAAAAATCTCTTTGTACGAAAGTTTTTGATTTGTTTGAACTGCTGTTGGTGATGCAGGGAAATTGCAACGGAGAGCGAAGACCCGATTGAATTGTAATTATTTCAGGCTCCATTGACGCGCGGGCTCGATTACTTGGGAATTTCCGTAGCACGCGATCCGAGATTACGAAATTTATTAACTTGAATACGTAATAGATACGGATTTATTAATGCCGTTCCACTTTATGTACAGACCTATATGTATGCAGTGTACATAGATTTGAATCGATTTATAACTCTACATTTTGTTATCTATTAGTTGCAATAAACTGCGAAAACTTTTCTTCTCTAAACATGTTATAAGCACATTCCTTGAAGACACATTTTGATTGAGAAATCTTAATTGAAAAGAAGTTAAGTTTAATGAAAAATTTGCTTAATTACATTTTTTTTGTCTGTTACTTTACGTACCAATACACAAAATTGAAATTAAATTAAATACCACTTTTCACATTATAAAAGACTTGAATTTTTCTGAATTTATGATTTTCAATTTACTTTCATAAAATTATGATTTTTTTTTTCTGATTATTACTTTCTACATCAAATTTATAATTGCAATATTTTCAATTTAATTTAATGATTTGCAATTGAAAGTAATTTACTTTCTACGTATTAATTACAGTTTAGTAAATTAAAAAAGAAATTTTACAAAAATTGAATGATTTCTGATTAATAGTTTTCTTGTGACAAAATTGTAATTGCTGCACTTTAAATTACACTTAATGATTTGTTTTCTTCGAAAGAAATTTACTTTCTCCTTTGCAAGAAATACAATATTTCTTTTAATTGCCACCGTTGTAATTTCATATCATTAAAGCAGTCGAAGGAAATACGATGTTACTTAACAATTTTCTTTCAAACAACTGTAATCGCGGTAATTACCTGTAATTTCATCTCCTCTATGTTGTGTGCTTATTTTTTTTAGCCTTATTCAGTAGTGAACGAGAGGAGGAATCACCCACCACCGAGAGCCCCGTCGGCTCTGAGCAGAGGCAGCGGTTACGACAATGGATCAGACATTTACGTGACGAGCGGTGCTTACAAAGCGCCTTCGGAAATCAGGTAATAACACTCTTACGATCCATCGCTCGGATGTGTTTCAACTCTGATGAATTTCTTAAGCCGAAGCTCGAGGACGAGAGGAGCCCCACCGAGCCACTACTCCTACAGGAGCGGAAGAGCACCATCGGTGACGTCGACGGTGAAGACCAGGAACTCGAGGAAAGCCGGAGTTATGGTTGAAACGATGGCTGCTCCGAACCCATTCTGTCCCAACATCAAAGGAATGTGCTGCTTGATGCTCCTCCTCAACTTGGGCATCATCTTAATCACATTGGGTTTCGTCATCGTCATCCAATTCCAAGATCCGGTCTACGTCTGGTAAATCTACTTAAACGTCGATTTAAATCAATCAAATCATCATTAATTCGTTCGTTTCTAGGGTTCTTGGCATAGTCTTCTTAATCTTCGGATTCTTAACACTCATCGGAAGCTTGATCTATTGCGTGGTAGTTTGCAGAGAGGTGAAACATCCGGACGATGTTCATCCGGAAGATCTGTACTGGACTCACCACTGGCAGAAGAACATAGGCTCGCCTGAAATCCACTACAAAGCCGAGGAAAAGTATGCGGATGATAGATACAGCGATAGGTATTCTGTCAGCAAACTATCTGGAAAGTACTCGGATCGCAACGGACGCTATTAATACATTTTTTTCTTCTAATCGATTGAACTTGTAAATAATCTCTGTTTACGTTATACATTCTCTACAATTCCCTCTCTCCTAATAATGACCTAACTGCATTAATACGTTTACTATATACAATTTTTATATTCGTCGTACGATCTGTGCAATTCTTCACCAATTTTGTTTCGTAATAATCTCCGATCCCTGTATTCTTATTTATTTTTATTGTTTTAATAATGACATTAAAGTTAATAATTTTTTTTATTGTGCATTATTTCATTTATCCACCTCTTATATAACTACAAGTAAAATTATATTTATTGTATGAGAATATGAAATTTGATTTAGCGTTGCTTTTTTTTTAATCTTATAATATTTATAACTTAATTTATTTTAATAACTAATACGATTATGTGTTTTTTTTTCAGTTTTTACAGTTTTTCGTAAATTTCTCAACAACCCCTCAAGATAATTACATCATCTACCACTCGTATGAAAGCAGAATGTCACAGCTTTCTAACAAGCCTATTGGCATCTTGGTACTGTCATCGACTCGCCTGCTATGAGTTGTAGAAATTGAAAAAACTGAGAAACGACGTTTCTTTTCCACTCTTTTCAGTTTATCGTAAATTTCTCAACAACCCCTTAAGATAATTGCAT